TCTTTTGATAACGGGGCAAAGCAGCAAATTTTAAAGTGAGATGCTTTGGTTAATTCTGGAAATTAAGTCAATTTAGTAGACCTACGGACAAAATGGGCCAACAAGGCTGCTAAAACCCGAAATTTTAATCTTAACACTTTTGTGTTAATTTGAATTGGATATATCCAATGCAAACTAACTGAAACCAGCAAACATACTGTTCGGATGTACGGAAATTTTTTTCACTGTCACATGGAAGTATAGTGGCTCCAGGTGCATGGTTGAACTCCACATCTCAAACATTCATACCGGTTTAATGATTTACATGTCCAAAGACGGCACAGTAATAACAACTTTTCTTTCCCGCGTTCGCGCTTTTCCGTAGACGTTTGTTAACGTCAATGATAATTTAACTCTTCTTTTTTGTAGCGTTACAAAAACTTCACCTTTTCTGTTATAGACAAAATGTCAGTATTGTTATAATGTTAACTTCCAAATTGCTCATTCCCTCCTCCGTTACCTTTTGAAATTAAGAAAATTCTTCTTATCGATAAGCCAGCATATGTTCACTATTTGCGGTGACCCTTTTCTCTACTTGGTTCTTTAAATTGGTTTATTAATTTTTTCGAGGTAGTTTTGTGAGTCTAATATAAATTTACTAGCAGGATTGCTCTCCGCAAATACCATGAAAGAAAAAAGGCGAGCCCTTTTTACCCTTTGAGATATTAACAAAAGGTATTTTTACAACATGGGGACTACAATAATATCGGAAAACTTTAGAATTCTTAGTCAGGTTAATTAATCTGACTATCCTCTTAAGAGGATATTTGAATTATTCAAAAGCACTAAATTTTGCGTTTTCGTAGATGGAAGCGTTTTGATACCACAAATTCTGCTGTTTTTTAGCATTATCTCATATAACTTGTTGTTTCGCCTTCTGCCGCGGTATGTGGCCGCTGGTTCACGACCATTACTACTAGAATTCAGTGATATCGATGAACTGCCATTCTTGGGTACTTACAGTATGCGACAAAGGGGATTTTTCAAACATGCAAAGTACGCCAAACACTTGCAAAACGAATAGCGTATAAACAATATACTATGGGTCATAAGGCGCTAAATTCTAGAGTTTCGTTTTTATGGTGAAAATTTTCTGGTTCATGTCTAATAATTCCTTAAAAAAACTCTTACAAATTGAGTCAACATCAGAAATTTAATTCGGTCCTTCATACAACATTTTTTTTAAATCCATCGAATTCTCAAAAACTTTAATTCCACTTTTGCGATTGGAATCTGCTGTAACATAACAATTTTATATAGGTACAAAATTTGACAGGATAACGTCAGAATTTCTTGAGAAGATATCCGGTACTGTATAAATTAGCAAAAGTGAAATGGCTCTTGCCAGGCGTATAAAATTTTAATGCGTAAAGAATTAATTGTAGATCGTTGAGTCACCTGATATTAGCTGCTCCCGAGTATCGTTACTTCAAAAGGTCCGCTCAATACCCTGAAGCGTAATCCAAGGTCAATGGGTTACAAAACTAATAATATTTTTACTTATGGTGCATTAAAACAAGCCAACTTTATAATCAGCAGAAAAGAATATTATCGTTGTTTTATTATTAGCTCTATAAATGTGATTTGTAATGCACCGACTTTCTCTAACGATATTGAACTCTCAGCCTCATGCTTATCTAGCACAGCGGAAAGGGTCTGACGATAAAAGACAGCCAAATTATCCAAAGCAAGAGGACTTACATCTTACATTTGTCTCTCACGAGGTCGGCCGCGACTAATTGAGGAGGAAATAACTTAAGATCTTTAACGCATACGTACAAAGCCTGTTTAATCATCGGAACGAAATTAAAAACATGGGTGACCAAATTATTCCAGATATTACGCAAAGCTGGTGTGATGAATGTCTAATTTACGCCAATCTCAACAGGTGCCAATACATCTGCCTATTTACTCACTGTATAAAAACAGCAACGTGGGCAATGGGCATCCTAGGAGTGATCAGAAGATCCGTCCCTGTTTTGAAAAGGGGCTTTTTGGGAACTTCCTTTGGGCATTTGACCAACCTATGTTAGAATATTGAGTTCAGCCTTGGTACCCCTGGATAAAGCAAGATTTTACAGTGCTGGAGAGGGTTCGTAGAAAGGCAAACAAAACAATTAGTATCTTAGACTACCTGCCATGCTCATATCGACTAGATAGATTGAATCCTTTTACCCTCTATTATAAACAATACGGAGAATAAATTTGAAGCAAGCAAATATGGCAGAATTTATTCGATCAAATAAATTTCG